CAATTTCTTTTCATGAAAATAGTGGCTAAATTAGTTCAATATTTAATATCTGGGGATAGAACATTTATGTGAATCAAGCTCTTTGGCATTTTTTTTTCACTTATAAAACCCTGCTGCTTTGTTAATGTTTGCAATTTTCTCCTCAATCTTGGCTATCAGGTTGAGTAGCCAATCGTTTGATTCTTCTGGAGAGTAATGAATTCTTGAAGGATATGGGGTACTCAAGTGTGTGTGGCATTCACCCAGGTCACTAGAGTCCTTACTGCTCTATCATCTATAATGTCCCTGGTCACCTGGAAAAGTGGACTCAGCTTCTCCACATGCCTTATCCCTCTGACATGCTGATATGCTGGAATAATCTGGCTCCAGGAGTATTAATATACTTTTATGAGACTGTGTACAAAATGCTATTTTGTAAAAACTATGCCTTTAAATAGACAATGATGGGTAATAATTGTTTTATAATAAATTGTGTATTTAATGCTTAATTGTGATTGATTTTGAGATTATATATAAAATGTATATTTATAAACCCGTCCTGTGAATTTCTACTCTTAAGATGTGTGGTATATCACTAATCAAGACATGAATTTCTATTTATGTAATGTAATTGTAGCAATATTCCTAAATGCTACCTAAATAATTGCTCTGTCCATTTGCCATCATGAATACTTTTATCTTTTGGAGGATTAAGTGATAGTCATCAGAATATATTAACTAGATTTGAACTTTAAAATATAAATTCTTAGTTTGAAATTCTTCCTGTTGATGCAATTAAAATTACTTTATAATTCCTTATTGCTCTGCTCTAGTGCATCTTTGTGTTGTTGTGTTGTTGTTTTTCCTTTGATTTAAATCATTTCATGGTAAAATCTTCCTCAATTCTCCCAGAATCTATAGACCTTCAAGAAGATAATAAGCTGTCTGATGAAAAGGAAAATCATGTTGTTGTATTCAGGTCAAAATCCCTGCAGAGAAGCAATATGCAAAATCAAATTGTGTTTATAGCTTCAATTTAATATCTTAGGACGTAGTAAATGGAGGTCTGTAATCTCATTTCAAGTATATCAGTTGGCTAATTGCATGTAGCTACCTCTACGAGTATCAGTTAGAAGCCTTATTGGTAGCAAAATCATCTTAAGAATAGATGTTAGTTCAGAATCTAGTGAATCATCAAAGAGGTATGGGAAATGTAAAATGTGGTAAAATGTTTCTATTGGGACCAGGTTGTGATTATAGAGTGGTGGGTTATAAAATAAAATAGAAAAAAAGTAAGAAACAGGTACTATTACAGTCTACATTATAGGCCCCAACCCTCACCAAAAATACCTCAAACATTTTGTCCTTGTTTATAATTACAGTAGTTGTCTCTGAAGGTATGTATTTATTGCCAGTCCTGGGTCTTTGACTTTGGGCCTGGGCACTGTCCCTGAGCTTCTTTTTTGCTCAAGGCTAGCACTCTACCACTTGAGCCACAGCTCCACTTCTGGCTTTTTGTGTTTATATGGTACTGAGGAATCAAACCCAGGGCTTCATGCATGCAAAGCAAGCACTCTACCACTAAGCTACATTCCCAGACCTGAAGGTATTTATTTGTGGTATCTTCAGAGATAGCCAAGTTATCAGGCCAAATCCTGGCTCCTGTTGCTCTTGGAGACTTTTTAGGGCTGAGTGCAAGTACAAGGTCTAAGCGACAAGTTTGAACAGGAGAACTGGTGGGGGAGGGGGGGGAAGCTGAGTAATAAGAAAGTCACCTGAATCCAGAAACTTCATTTAATAATTATGTATTGAGGACTTATGTACCAATCCCTGTACTAGACACTACACATAATGCTAAGAAAGACAACTCTTGATTTCTGCTTCAAAGGGGTTTGAAGCCTAGCTGGGGCAGCAGACACATACATCACAGCAGTATCTTGTGCTAAGATGTAATGGTAAGGAAAGACTAATGTTCAGTGCAAAACTAGGGGTCCTCTCTTAGCCAGGGGTAAAGAAGAAAGCAGAAGATGACACTGAAGTTGAGTCCTGAGGAAGAATGTTATGGATGAAATGTTTGGTTCTCTCAATATTCCTGTGGTGATACTCTCTTGTGGTGGCATCTGGAGATGGGGGCCACTAGAAGTAATCAGGTCACAAGAGTGACCAATCCTTTCTCATCTCCATCATGTGAAGACACAGAAGTCTGCCAGCTTTAACAGGAAGAGGACCCTTTCCAGAGCTCAACCATGCTGGCACCCTAGTATCAGACTTCCTAGCCTCTACAACTATCAGCACAAACCAGTGTCTGGGGAAGGATGTCACTCATTCATCTTTTAACTCAGCATACACTCACCACGCTCCTACTCTGTTGCTATGAATGTCTTCTGCTGTACCAGGTACTGGGGACACAAAACTAAAACAATTCCTAGTCTTCATTCTCTAGAATTCTGTGAGGAGATTCAGTACATCATGGACTTGGGCCACAGTATTGTCCACTCACACACTGTGAGCAGAGCCCTTCAGGAACCCAGTCTATGGTAGACCAGGAAAACACTATTCTATGTAGTTTGTAATGTTTCAGCTTTCATTTCTGTTAACAGTTCCATTTCTGTCTAGAAATTTTATCTGACACCTGTCAGATCTATTACTCTGCTCCGAGAAGATTGGGGAATGTTCAATAATTTTGCTTTTCATGGAGACTTGGAAATGAAGTATCATGACTGAGCACTTTTGATTTGTGGACCCAAGGTCCCAACAACTTACCTAACATTAATAGTCTTTGCACATCCTCTTCATTTGCATCCATGGATGTATGCTTTTATTATGTAATCTGAGAACTCTCTTGTTCTAACCAGAGGAGACATCTTTGATTGGAGAAAGATTAAAGGAGAGGGATTGCTCTTTCCTTGGACATTTGTATGGATTTTAAGCCCAGTTCTTAAAGGACAGGATGCTAGACTTAGAAGGAACTGTTTATGAGAGAAGGCATAATACATTGGCTATAAGTAACCTGGTTTGAGCTTGATTGATAAAGAGCACCCATCAATGAGTCAGGGAGAAAGATATCTTTCTGAATTCTGAATAGAACTCAACTCCATTGGCACCCTAAGGATTGATTAGAAATGTAGACAAAGTGACTCAGTAGCTGGCAATCTGCAGTGGTCACTAAACTTAGACTCACTGAGCTCTTGTAGGCAGCAGGTAACATAAATGGTTGGTGGTTGACTCATGTCTCCTAGTACAAGTGAGGCACTCCCATTGGGACCTTCTGGCACTACAAATGACTGAGGACTTTTTGAGGCCTTGTTATATAAATAGTAGCTGAATCAGTAAAAATCAACACTGAAAGCAAATGTGGCCACAATTTGCCAGCAAATCTTAGAAGTCCTAGTGAAACAAGAAGCAGAGCAAGATGTAGGAAAAACAGAAGGGAAAACATTTACCATGTCAAACTCCAGACCATCTTGAAACAGTGACCTGAATCTCTTTGTCTCCAAGACTTGCTAAACAACAGTTTCTTCATCTGAAAACTATACTGTTTACTTCAGAAGATAAACAAAAATTATATGACGACTTGTAGTATTCCCATACACACACATTGAGTACTCAGTAAAGACTTCCACAATTTTAAAAAATAAAATTACCATTGGGATTATTTATGAGTACCAATATTTTTTTCCCCATCAAGAGAAGCAGCAGCATTACCTAGAGCTTTTTTTTTTTTTTTTTAAATTAAGAACTTCTTTTTACAATCACTTGGAGCCAAGGACTTGGATTATTATCATTTTCATGTGACAGGGGGCATTGCTAGCTTATTTATCTGCCATGACCACACCTGGCCTAAAATAAAATAGCAATGTTAAGACTCTGATTTAGGGCTTTGGGAAGAGTTCTGATTTCAACTAATAGTGACAAATCCTTACAAATGGTGATAACAGCTGTACCTTACAGTTCTCTGAAGGGCTCTAAAAAGATACCCAAGAATCCTCTGGCTAGATCAGTTAGGATTAAAGGTGAGTTCAGGGTTTGAACGCTGCCTCTGCCCCTTGGTGGCTGTGTGAACATGACCTGGTGTTTAACCTCGACAGTTTTTGTTTGTAAAGCGAAGCTAACACCTTTGTAAGGTTGTTCTTAGGAGTTGGATACTTAGAACAGAGACTGTTCACTCTGAACCACCCAGTTATCACAACTTAAAATCCTGCCAATATGACAAAATAAAGTAAAATAAAATAAAATTAGCTAGTTGCTTGTAGTTCATGCCTGTCATTGCAGCCATTCGAGAGGTAAAGAATGGGAAGATTCAAGTTTTATGTCAGCCTATGGGGGAAATGCAAGAACCCCCAACACAACCGACAAAGCTGGGCTTAGCGATCTGCACTCAGCTACAGCCAAAGCAGTAAATAGGGGATCACGATCCATGCTGGCCTAGAAATAAATGAGATTCTATTTCAAAAATAATCCAAGCAAAAAGGGCCAGGGATATGGCTCAAGAGGTAGAGAGCCAATCAAGGAAGCACCAAAGTAGAGTCTGAATCCAGACTCTAGTTCTTCCAAAAAAGAAAATGGAATAAAAATGTCCTGCCAAATGCACTAGGACAAACACTTGGACGTGTTTATTGAATCAGTCAACCAGAATCTGGGCATCAGTCTTTTGAAAGTACTCTCCCACGGCACTTCCAATTTGCAGCCTTGGTTTTCGCATGACTGAAAAGTAGTGTCTCTTGAAAGTAGATTCTCTTTTGGGGTCCTGCCCGACGGAAGAAGTTGGTCTTAAAAGGAGAGTATTTAATTAATTTACTTCGGACTCTCGAAAACTTGGGACTTGCGGCGACCAATGGGCGAAGGGAGCCCGGGGGAGGACGGAGCGTGCACTCAGCCTCCTGGGAATTGTAGTTTCTCCGCGGCGTCTCTCGAGCGCTCGGAGGCCAGCCGCAAACTACAAAGCCCATCAGGCAGCGCGGCTCCGCCCGCCTTTCGTCCGCGCGCCTCGAGAGCTCGCCGCACCTCCTCCTCTTGGGGGCGGCGGCGGCCGAGGCGGGAGAGGCGCGATGGCCGACCGAGGCGTCCCCGCTGAAGTGTCCGGCCCTCGGGGTTCTCCGCGGCAGGAAGCCCGGCACCCGCGTGCAGCCGGGCCGGGCAGCGGTGAGACCCCACGCACGGCGGCGCTGGCGCTGCGTTTTGACAAGCCCATCAAGCAGGCCTTCTACAACACGGGGGCCGTGCTGTTCGTGTGCCTGTGCTGCGGCGCGGCGGTGCTCGTGTACTTCATCCTCGAGGCCTTCCTGCGGCCCCTGCTCTGGGCGGTGCTGTGCGGCACCTTCCTGCACCCCTTCAAGAGCTCGCTGACGCGCCTGGGCCGCCACTGGCTGCAGCGCCTGCACCGCGCGCACACGCCCATCGTGCTGGCCGCGCTGCTGCTGCCGCTCTGCTTCGCCGACTACGGCGTGGAGGCCCTGGGCGAGCAGGTGCTGCGCCGCCGCCGCCTGCTGCTGCTGCTGGGCGCGGGCGGCCCGCTGCTCTACGGCCTCTACTGCCTCGGCAGCTACCTGGGCGTGCAGGTGCTGCTGGCGCACGCGGGCGCGCTCATCTGCCGGGGGCTGGACTATTTCAGCAGCCTGTGGGTAAGTGAGCGAGTGAACGGGAGGCGATCCAGACTCCCCGATGGGTACGCCCTGCCCCTCCCCGGCACCCCAAGACCTCTGGGGCAAGTCCGCATCTGGACTGCTGTGAGAGCCCACGTTCTCCTGCCTTCCTGAGAGAGGCAGTGTGATTTGAAGCAGCCCTGCTTGTCCTTAGGGTGGGCCTGTTCCCTGGTTGAGAAGTAGGGTTCCATTCTGTGGGGGAGACAAGTCTTAGGTTTACACCTCTGGTTGGGAAGTTAAAGGGGTGCCCCGGCTACCCACATCTGGGCGGCGGAGTTGGAAGGAATCCTAGTGATTCCAGACCTACTTTGCCTAACTACAGATAAGAGAGGTGACTTCTTACTCCAGGGCAAAGGTTAATTAGGGACAAAAAGAGACTGATTGACCTTAGATTTTTTTTTTTTCCTTTGCTGGTCGAGGCTGCCTCTCAGTTCAGGTCTTTTTTTAGTTTGTGCAGAGCACGGGGTGCTGAGCGGGCCTTTCCCTCAGCACACCCCATTCTTTACCATTCCCTAGGACCTACCCTCCCCCCCCCCCCATGGATTACCAAGGCAGATTGGGTGAAAAAGAGGTAAATCTCTGTGTGATGTTGGGGTTCCTCTTGTTTCTTCTTATAAACTTAGGGAGCTTTTAGTTTTGAAAGGAATTTCAAAGATAACTGAGTAACACATTACCTGGCTCACTCTATCCAGTTTATCCACATATTTACAGTGGATGGCTAAAAGCAAGTGGATATTTAATGCTTAAGAATGTTAAGAATGTTGGTTAAGAAACAGTGCTATTAGGACTGGGGATGTAGCTCAGTGACAAAATGTGCCTAGCATGCATGAAGCTCTAGGTTCAGTGCCCAACACCACACACCAAAAAGTGCTGTCTAAAATTAATTTATTAACCTCTTTCGTCAGTGAGATGTTCAATGTATCTCAACATCTACTAAAGTTTGTTGGTGGATTGATAATTGATTCCAGAACTCCTGTGTTCTCTTGTTTAATCAATAACCACCTTTCAGTTCAAGTTAAAAGTTGATTGTTTTGTTAGGTAATGAGCTTTGTGAGATACTTAAAAAGGGGCTGAAAGCTGGGTGCTGGTGGCTCACACCTGTAAATTCTAGTTACCCAGGAGGCTGAGATCTGAGGATCATGGTTTGAAGCCAGCTGGGTCAGGAAAGTCCATGAGACTTAAAAAAAAAATCTTTATTTTCTTGTTAAGATGCTGTATAGAGGGGGTACAGTTACATGAATAAGGTAATGAGTACATTTCTTGTCGAGCATTCTTACCCCCTCCTTTGTTTTTCTTTTTTTTTTTCTTTTCTTTTTTTTGGGTCTGGTCGTGAGGCCTGAACTCTGGGCCTGGGCGCTGTCCCTCACCTCTTCAGCTCAAGGCTAGAGCTCTACCACTTGAGCCACAGTGCCACTTCCGGCTTTTTTCTTTTTGCTTATGTGGTGCTGAGGAATGGGACCAAGGGCCTCATGCATGCAAGGCAAGCGCTCTACCACTGAGCCACCTTCCCCCCTCCTTTGTTTTTCTACTATCCCTTCCATCTTCCACCTCCCTCCATCCCCCCCAATGTTGTAAAGTTCATTTCCAACATAGTGGCTTGTATCATTGTTGTAGTCATCCTGTGTCCTTTTTTAAGCATTTTGTTATTCCCATTCCCCCACCAAATTGGATAAATGTATATACAAGATGCAGGGTACCAAGATCAAATACAGTGACAACAGGGATATACCATAGGAGGAAGAACATACATAAGAAACAAACAAAAATCACATAGTACATTAATGATAACAACAAAGAAAAACCTCATTTCCATATCTTGGGGTTCATTTTGCTTAGCATCATCTTATATGGTCATACGTACATAGATTTTGAGCTTTTCTGCTCATCTGATAAGATTATCTGAGACATATACTAATTATTACAAATAAGTGAAACCACGGGACCTATATTCCTTTGGGTCTGGCTTACTTAATATAATTTTTTCCAAGTCTGAAGAAGAAGTAAAAATGGCTAATAGACACATGAAGAAATGCTCAACTTCTCTAGCCATAAAAGAAATGCAAATCAAAACAACATTGAGATTCTACTTCAACCCAGTTAGAATGGCTATCTATATTCGAGAATTTAATAACAACAGATGCTGGAGTGGATGTGGCCAAAAGGGAACCCTACTGCACTGTTGGTGCGAGTGTAACTTGTTCAACCAGTCTGGAAAATTATGGAGGTTCTTCCAAAGACTACACTTAGAGCTCCTCGCACTTCTGGACATTTACCCAAATGATCACACTAAAGCTACCAGCACAACTATGTTTAAAGCAGCCTTATTCACTTTAGCTAAGATATGGAACCAACCCGATGCCCCTCAGTAGATGAATGGATCAAGAAAATGTGACATATATCTCTGTCAGTCAGTCTGTCTGTCTGTCTGTCTGTCTGTCTGTCTGTCTGTCTGTCTATCTATCTATCATGGAATTCTATGCCTCCATCAGAAAGAATGACACCTCCCCATTTTGTTAGGAAATGGAAAGACTTCCATGAGGCTCTTATCGCCAATAAATCACAGAGAAAGACTTCCATGAGGCTCTTATTGCCAATAAATCACAGAGAAAGCCGGAAATGGAGCTGTGGCTCAAATGGTAGTGCTAAAGACACTCGGGTAGCTGCAAGCCCTGAGTTCAAGCCCCAGGACTAGCAAAAAAAAAAAAACCGTGGGGGCCAAGAAGAGAGATGCAATATCTGTCTTCAAAGTCTATATAACCATAAGTGACTTGTTTTGGGTGCTGGGCATTGAACCCAGAGCTGCTTGCTAAGCCTGTTCTCCAATGTGGATTTATGCCCCCAACCTGAGACATGAGCATATTCTAGTGGAGCTGATGGTCACGTAGGTAATGTTCATTACTCACCAGTTAGCCCTCTGGGCTCTGTGAATGTGACTGCCCTAGAGTCCCATGGCTGTGGTTCACTCTTTTTTTAAAAAAAATCTGTGAAGAGATCAAGCCTAAGGGCTTCCTGGCTATTGGGCAAGTGCTCTAGAACCTCTGAGCCATTCCTCCTGCCCTACAGTTCATTTTAATGGAGCCTACTTCACCTACTTCAGTGCTCTTTTACCTCATTACACAACTTTTTTTTTTAGTTAAGTAGAGTGAAGGCAGATCACCACACACTGTTAAGAAATGTGGTTTGAGCAAGACTGCCATGGCTGACGCCTGTAATCCTAACTACTCAGAGGGCTGAGATCTGAGGGTCTCTGGTAGAAACCAGCCTGGGCAGGAAACTGTGAGACACCTCCAGATAACCACCAAAAAGCAGGAAAGAGGAGCTGTGGCTCAAGTAGTAAGAGTGCCACCCTTGAGAGAAAAAGCTAAAGGACTATGCACAGGCCTAGGGTTCAAGCCCCACGACTGGCACAAATAAAAAAGCATAGACAAAAGAGAAGAGTATGGCTTTACAATAAAATAAAATGGCATATCCTTCAGAAATTCAGTCTAGTCAATGTCAAAGACAGACTTGCAGATTCTGCTAAGATTCTGACAGTTGATACTACTCATACTGTAGGAAATTTAAAATGAAAGACCTGCCATTAATGAATAGCATGTTTAGCTGCAGTAAGAAGTTGAGTGCAAAGTTAAATTGGCCATGCTTAGGGGAGATGAGGGATTTCTGCTTGTCCCTCACAGATACTCAGTAGAAAGTAAGTGAATATGTGGGAAAAAGTATCTGTAGCTTAGTGTACGTAGTGTTGAATATCTTTTTATTGAAGATAAACTTTCAGATTTACATTTATGTGCTTAGATTGTGGATGATGAGTGGAAGAGCCAAAATTGATTAGATTGGGGGTTGGATTGAGAAAATCAAGCCAATTAATGAAATTTATTTTTGGTACTGGTGAGAATTGAACCTAGGGCCTTATGCATGCTAACTAAACATGTACTCTACCTCTGAGCTGCATCCCCCAGTGAATGATTTTAGAAGGGCTTGTAACTTCGCCCTTTGCCCACAGTGATGGGGACAAAGGAGAAGAGAAGGGAATTAAAATACAACAAACTATTATAAAAAGAGATGGTATGAATTAGAAGTGAACAGGATAGTCCTAGAAGGACTGAATTTTGAAAGTGTAGCTTGAGAAGCAAGTGTTGAGTTTTGCTGGAGCAGTTGAGTGGGTATGGTGTGCTTAGGAAACTTGGGAGTTTTCAGCCAGACTTGCTGATGAAGGCCTGACTTCACTGGGTCTTTTATCTCATCATCTACAGCATTTAGCTTGTGAACCCAAGCAGGGCTCCCTGGCCACAAAACAATGGTCTTTTAAAATTTATTTTTGTTTGTAGAGACGGGATCTCACACTGTAGCTCAAGCCTCAACTGTGTGATCCTCCTATATTAACCACCTGAGCGCTGAGATTATAAGTATGTGCCTCTGTGCCTGGCTAGAGCAGTATGGTGTGTTAAACTTTCTAGATAACTCGTAAATGTGATCCTGCTGCTGAAGTGCCTTGTAGAGGAGAAATGAAGAGGGAAAAGTTACATTTAATTAAACCAGCAGTTTGGTGAAGGGACAATTCATTTAAAACCTAAGTTTTGAACATGTGCTAGGCACTGGACAAGGTACCAACACAGATGCACTTTTATTTTCAAGCAGTCTTTTGGAGTAAGAAGAAGGGCTTTCCTATCTGAGAAAACTAATTTAGTGACCTGTTCATGCTGTTGCTAAGTAGTATTCACTATCAGCAGGTAAAGTTCTGCTTTCAGGAGAGCTCTGTGGTAACTTTTGATGAATTTAAAATGTCTCTCCAACCTATGTGTGCCAAAGAGTTTAGTGTAATTTTTTAAAAATTAAAATTGTATATATTGATTTTAGTAATCAGAAGAAAATGTAAAAGAATGTTAGGATTAGATGAACCACAGTGTTCCCCCTGGATTTTACTTATCTAGAAACCGTAGGCATTTTGGTCTCTCCTTTATATATGCAGAGCCCCATTCAGT